CACCCAAAACACCCACTTCCCTTTTACCACGTTCGTGGTAAAGGGAGGGTGGGGCACATCTACAAAGAAGGAGTTGGCAATAAATGCCTCCAACTCCTTGAGGATGGCCGCGAGCCAGAGGTGAGTGTCAGGGCACGCCATGGCCTTCTCGTACGTGGCGGGGACGAAGATGGTGGGGGCGGAGGAGAAGGCAAAGACTAGTGTGCCGCTGAGGTCAGGGGAGATGGGTAGGAGGGCTGGATCATGCAAGTGGAGGTTGAGGAACTCCTCGTGGGAGTCCTCGAGGAGGGAGGAGTGGAAAATGAACGGGAGGACTGCTTCTGCTACTGCTGCTGCTGCTGAGGATGCTTTTGCCGCCGTTGCTGCTGAGGTAGCTGCTACTGCTGCTGCTGCTGCGGGTGAAGGTGAGGAAGGAGCGACGCCTGTTGCTTCTGCGGTGGGTAGGTCTGCTGCTGCAGCTACTGCTGCTACTGCTGGGACTGCTACACTGGAGCTCGACGGCAGGGTTGGGCTAGTGTGTTGTTGTAAGACAGCCTGAAAGAGGAGGTCCATAAGAGGGGAGAGAGGAGGCAAGGTAGAGGAAGAGAGGGTAACAGGAGGCGGGGCACCTAGGACTGCGTCACGTGACTTGGTGTGGGGATACCGGGTGAGGATGGAGCGGGTGGGGCGCAGGGGGGAGGGGGACGCGAGGAAGAGGGGGAAGGAGGGGAGGAGGGAGGACGGGAGGGAGCGGAAGGAGAGGAGTGGGACGGGGAGGTGGGGGGAAAGAGAGGGTCAGGGTCAAATCTGTCACCAGAGGAGGGGGGAGCGCTAGGGACCGAGGCAGCGGGGAGTGGCGGAGGTGGAGCATGGGGGAGGATGGGAGGGGGAGGGAGAAGAGGGGATGGGATATTGTCGGACCAGGTGAGGGGCCTAGGAGCAGGTGCAAGAGGGTCAGTGGGGGAGGGAGTGAAATAGTAGGGTGTGGACTAATCAAAGACCACATCTCGACTGCGGAGGAAGCGACCTGAGGGGGATGAAGGAAGAGGTAGTCCGGGGAGGAGGGGTTATGACCAAGGAAGATGCAGGGGAGGGTACGGGAGGCGAGCTTTCCCATGGTGCGGGGGCGGTCCGCAGGGTGAATGAGGACATACGCCCTGGAGCCCCACACACGGAGGGAGGAGACGTCAGGCTTGGCCGACGTCCAGAGCTCGGTGGGAGTGGTGGAGGGAAGGATGGGGTGGGGGTACAGGTTAGTAAGGAGGGCGGCGTGAAGGAGGGCATAGCCCCACAGAGAAGGGGGGCAAGAGGCATGGACCAGGAAACACAGAGCAATCTTGGTGATCTCTCGAACACGGCTCTCGGCCACACCATTGTGCTGGGGGGAATGGGGGAGGGTGTGAGTCTGGCGAATGCCATGAAGCTCACAATGGGAGGCTACCTGTCGATTAAGGAATTCGCCACCGCCATCAGAGTGAAGGCGGCGGATAGGGCGGCCAAAGTGGGTGCTCGCCTGCTTGAGCTAGGCGATGATCGCAGCCGGAGCGTCACCCTTTGAGCAAAGAAGGGAGACGGAAGAATATCGGCTGTGATCATCGACCAGAACAAGCATGTAGCGATGGCCCTGGCGGGAAGGGGAGGGGTTGGGGGCCCCAGAGGTCCATGTGAACGAGATCAAGTGGCTGAGCAGCAGCGGAGGGGGAACTCTGATGCGGCAGCTGTTTGAGCTTGCTCTGGACACAAACGGGGCAAGGTGGGGTAGGGGAGGGAGGGAGGGGAGGGAGGGTGAGGGGAAGACCTCGAAGGAGACCTGAGGAGACGGTCGAGCGGAGGGTGGCAAAGTTGGGGTGACCAAGCCTGTGGTGGAGGAGGACGGTGGGATGGGAGAGGGATCGACAGGAGCAAGTTGGGTCAGGGGGGAGGGGGGGGTGGCTGGGTTAGAAGGAGGGAGAGGAGGGGAAGGGATGTGAGGGGGGGGGAGGGAGCGGGAGACTACCTGGGTAGAGGGAAGACGAGGAACCCGAAGGGAATATAGGCGGGAGCGAGGACAGAAGGGAATACGGGAGAGGCGGCGACCTGTGGGATGGTATAGGAGGCAGTGATTAGCGCGACCTGGGAAGACGGTCGTGATACGAGCCTGCTGCAGGGATCGCTGGGAGAGGAGGCTAGTACGGAGGGAGGGAAAATGTAAACCAGTGACGGTACCTGAGGGGAAGAGGGGACAGGGGAGGGTAGAGGTGTCGCGACAGGGAAAAGAGAAGCTGGAATCAGCACCTTGGAGGGATGTGGGAGAGGGTGAAGGGTACCTGCATCACGAAGGATTGACTCTGTGGCTCCACTGTCAAGGTCAAAGTCGAGCGTGGTGGATGGGGGAGGATGTGGGAGAGGAGGTGGGACGCAGTACTAAATCACGTTCTCATTATTAGCAGCCGGATACATAGAAGGGGCAATGGTTCCAGCCTGACTAACCATGCTAACAAAACCAGAGGAGGGGAAAGGAGTCACACTCCCTATGGCTGAGGGTGCAGGAGACGCGCCCGAGAGATGAGCTGCGGAAGCGGCGGTGCTGGCGGTCCAGGCGGGGTAGGGCTGCCGGGGGGGAGCCATAAGAGGAGGTGCAAGGGGGAGCTGCGACTGGAGGTCAAGCTACTGTTGGAGCTGCTGGAGCTGCTGCTGCAACTAGGAGAAGAGGTGCTGCTGCCCCTGCTACTACTGCTGCGGCTAAAGCTGCTTCCCTACAGAAAATGGGGAAGTTCTCATCCTGTGCCTGCCCTACAAGCCACGATTTGAGAGCGGAAGGCTGACGTGCCTGACGTTCTTATCCCGTGGCTTGAAGGGCAGGCATGGGATAAGAACGTCCCCATTAGGGAAAGCCACGGGATAAGAACGTCAGGCACGTCAGCCTTCCGCTCTAGAGGAAACACCGTGGTGTAACGTGTATAGTCGTCTAAGAGTACTAGAAAGTAGCGCTCACGACGTGGCCCAGGGATGGGGGCTGGGCTCCAGACGTCCAAGTGCAGGGTCTGGGTTGGCGCAGTGGTGGGGGGAAACGAGGAGGAGTGAGGAGCACGGCGCAGCCAGCACTCAACGCAAGGCATGCACGGAGGCGCGGAGGGAGGGTGGGCTTGAAGCGAAGCAGGGAGACCTAAGACAAGACCGTGCTGGGACATGTGACGTAGACGCATGAGAGCGGGGTGACCGAGGCGGTGGTGCCACAGAAGCGACGGGTGAGTGAGCGACCGACACGAGCAAGCCGCAACGATCTGGGTAGACACAGCCACCTAGGGGGACGCCCCCATCGGGGGGGACGCGGTGTCTCGCATGAATAGGCCAGACGCCGTGTCCCGGGAGAACGTGGTGAGGGGGGCACCAGTGGCGGGCCTCGGTACAGACAGCATACCGCTCGTGTCTAAGGAACGTAATGGTGACACCGAGGTTCTGAAGGCAGCCGACACCACCTAGTTTTCTGGAGAACGAGGGGATATGCAGACCCGTAAGCGGGCCTGAGGGAACCGCCAGACAGGGAAGTGTGGTGGAGCTACGTGCAACTACCGGACCTGAGGAAGGGTCAGCAAGAGCGATGATAGCAGGGGCAGCAAGCGACGTGAGCGCGGTGTGGTCACGAAAGAAGCAGGCAGACGCACCAGAGTCCAGCGCGAAGGAGAGCGCGGCGGTAGCGTCAGCCGGCGGGGGCACTAGCGTGGAGCCTAGGCTAAACAAGGTAGGAGATCCTACGCCTGGCACAGCAGTGGAGCCTAGACAACGCATAGTGGGTACACCTATGCTAGGTAACACAGGGTAATAAGGTCTAGTCACACTAGAGTCATTAGCATACATGGCATAGAAAGCAGAGCGAATCTGATCCATATTTATCTCGAAGACAGGCATACGACGACGTACTAGGCCGGGCTAGTCCGGGAGGTCCGGCCTGGGGCCGAAGCGGAGACGAAAGAGATTGTTGAGGCGACGGTAGCAGCGGGCGGCGGTGTGACCAAAACGGCTACACACGGTGCCACGAAAGGGACCAGTCTGGAGCTGGTAGTAGCAAATCACAGTGCTGGAGCTGGCACTAAACGTCGAGCCGCGCGAGCCGCCACCATGGCCGCCGCCACCAAAGCCGCCAGGCCATCACGGTTGCAGGGGTCCCCATGGCTGTTGCTGCTGCTGCTGCAATTGGTGCTGCTGCTGTGACTGCTGCTGCTGCTCGTGCTGCTGCGCTGGGGCATCAACCCCGGCCCCCTCATCTGTACCACCGGCACTCGCACCACCTCCATCACCTCCACCACCCCCGCCACTCCCGCCACCCCCACCACTCCCGCCACCCCTCCCTCCGCCACGCCCCCTTGGAGGCAGCGGCCCTTACCCTGACGAGGCTACGCTGAGGATGATGCGGTGAACACAGCGGCAGGAGCTGTCTCAGCGACAACAGCAGAAACGTCAGAGTAAGTGCACTAGGAAGAAGCATAGCCCTGGAAGATAAAGATCAGCGCAGTACCTCTAGACTGAGCGATAGTGCGCTGGCGGATCTCTATCGCGGATAGGTGGTGACAAACTCGGTAAGGGATAGGTCAGCGAGGTGGAGACTAAGGAAGGCATCGCGGGCAGTGGCGAGGCGGTTAGGAAGGCGCGTGGCAGGGAAGTAGAGAGTAACACCAAGGGGGAGAGGCTTAATAGTGAGCTAGGCCTCAGTGCTAGCAGCGCGGTAGAATGTGAGATATAGGGTGGTTTTGTGCTGAGGGGATGTACTCTCTAAGAGTACGCACCTATCTAACCTATAATAACATATACATACACTGACGGAAAGTATTGTCCACATGTTTGTGACTTAGAGGAATTTTGCCATTTTAGGGGGTCATGGACATTAAGCCTTAATCTTCTGGTGTGCCTAGTGTATGTAGGTTAGGGTAAGGCTCTACGCCCATGCCTTACATCACACAAGTATAATGATGTTTACAACAAATACCAGAAAATAACAATCTTGGTACATGTGGACAATTATTGCCAGGCGCAAGCAGCAAGTTACATCAACCCCAAACTAGTACCTAATCCACCGCCCTCTCGCCTTAGACACCGCCCTCACCCTCCTGGGCATGCTTTCCACCAGGTGGGTGCACACATCCGCTGGGATCTTCTCCCATTTCTCCTGCACTCGCTCCCAAAGGTCTAGCATACAGTGGGAGGCTTATAAGGCTTGGCCAGCTGCCTCTTGAGATGAGCCCATAAATGCTCCATTCGGTTGAGGTCGGGTGAGGAAGACGGCCACTCTAGCACCCCTGAATCTTACTCTCAAAGCCACTCCTGTACGATACGCGACTTGTGCTTCGGGTCGTTGTCACGCTGGAAGATAGTTTTTGAGGGTGTAAGCTGGAAAAGCTCAATCGTACTGTTGAGATCGTCCTGCAGTATACTCAGCGAGAGCAGTCCATCCACGCTACCATATGTTTTGCTCATGAAACCCGCTCCCTTTTACGACATGCAGTCGTGAATTATCAAGCAACCGCCCCCGTGTTTGACGGTCTGCTTGATTTGGTGTCTTTGGAGGGCAGTCCCTTCGTGAACGCAGGCGTATGAGAGTCAGTTGGATGCAAGACGACCGATCTTGGTCTCATCCGCACAGAAAACGCGCTTCTAGTCGTCGACCGTCCAGTCTGCGTGGGCACGCGCCCATTCCAGCCTATCGCGTATGTTTTTCCGAGAGTGTCGCGGCTTCTTGGGATGCTTGATTGCGACAAGTCGGCTCCCATTCTAAGCGTTACGCAATGTCTTAGGATGCAACGTGATGCCGTGCTGCTTCTCAACGATTTTCGCCACGTGAGCGGAGATTTCGGCCTCCTCGAGGGTAATCGACCGAACTATGCCGCGGCGAACTCTCTCTGTCACTAAGCGAGGGCGACCGGCTGTGGGCATCGTAGGACGCACGTCATCGCGGGTAGACTCTACAATCGCCTTGATGGGCCGAACTCTTCCCTATGGCTAGCTGTTTAGCGATTCAACGATTGCTCTACCCCCTCCGCAACAAGGGAATGATCTATGCGTAGAGCGCCTCATCTAACGGTTTCATGACGGCCTAATCATCGCAGCGGTCCTAGCCTATCTCCTGACTACTCGATACTCGCGAGGGCAAGTAAGAAGAAATAGCGAGGTTAGGAAATAGATCTACTACGCTGCTTGGCCTAAATTGTCCGGATGCACCCACGCGGACGAAATCTCGTCCTCGGTAAAAAATCGACCCCTATAAAACTGAAACCAGCATCCGTCACATACAGTACAGTACTACTTTACATCCAACCCCGAAATTTGATTCGTAACTAAACAAAGAAGGCACCAAACCAGTACGAGAAATGTTTTAAGGCAATTATCTGGGCAATACTTTCCGTCGCTGTATGTGTTTGACACACCCCCTAGGCTAGATGAGGGGCAGTGCCTGGCACGAGACACGCAGCTCAGGGTGGAACTACTAGTCCAACCTCTGAGACAAGGGTCCGAAGACAAGTCAGCAAGAGTACAAACTAAACAAGAGTAACCCAAGGCGGCACTACTAGTCCAGCCACTAGAACAAGAGCCACAAGGCCAGTCAACATGATGTAAGCAGAAGTACACAATCAAGGTCCTAGCTAGTGAGAAGCTACAAGAACAAGACCAAGATGGACACAGTGTCGCTGCTGATCTTTGGGCGCAAGCACCTTAGTAAAGATATCATCTATGTTGGCAACAGAGGCCATGTGTACAACGGGGGCCTGGCAGCGCTGCTGTAGCTCGCGCAGAAAGAAGTGTTGCAGCCGGATGTGCTTCGCTCTGCCCTCCAGTCGAAGCTCCTGACACAGGAGAATCATGGCCCTATTGTCAGCGTATAGAACCGGGGCAGAGCTAGGCCGCTCACCTAAGTCTGTGAGCAAGAAAGTCAGCCAGCGGAGCTCCTGTGCCACCAGGGCAGATCTCAGCCTCACAGCGACTTGGCAACACACGACGAGCAAGTGGACCTCCACGAGATGGCACCTGCACCAAGGCTAAAGCAATAGCCCTAGGAGGACCTGAGCGTCTCAGCGTCGTCCGCACATGAAGCGTCAGTGTGCCCTGTAAGCACTACTGGCCTGCGTCCTCCTAGCACTAGCCCCATGTGCGATGTACTTGCTAGATAATGCAAAACCCTCTTAGCGGTCGACCAGAGTTGTGGTCGGTATTTACCTGTGGCCACAAAGCGAGCCAGGATGCTGAGAGGGTATGCAAGATCTGGACGAGTGCAAGTCATCAGGTACATGAGGCAGCCCACCAGCTCTGCGTACAGACCACTAGGCTCTACTGAATCCTCAGGGACTGGAGCCGAGAGCCTGTGATCTACTGGCAGAGGTGTGGGTTGTGTAGAGGAGAACTGAAGAGCGAACCTCTGAAGGACCTTGCGCACCAAGTGTGACTGTGTGAGAGTGATGGTGGGCACTGCTCTGTTTCTGCAGGTCAAGGTAGCGACGCAACTCTCCTTGGTCAGTGTAGGTGTGTCTCCTCAGCAGCTCAGCCTGTTAGGATTAAGGACGGAGTCTAGGTGAACTTAGGAGCTAGAATTACTCAAAATACAAATCCGAAATTCTGGACAGAAAAGTCATCTTCACAAGAAACGATGTCGACAAACAACTAGCCGTTGGAATGTCGCGAAACTTGGAGATGTTGTAGCTCTTAATCTCAGCTACCGTCCCCAATTTGAATCACATTGAGTGATGAAGTATTCGCGACGCTATGGCTTTCGACGCACTAGGGGGTAAGCTGTAGGAGGAGAACTTAACTCAATCTCAAGAGTTCAATCAAAGTTCAAGAATCTCACAAGGAATTAGAGGAGCAAGAGAAAGGTTGGGATAGAAGAGAGGGACGAGAGGGAAGATCCCAAGAGAGTCCCCAACCAAGGAAACCCCTTAAGCACAAAGATTCCCTCCCTATAGGAACCCCAACTTTGACATTTGTCCCTTCCCAACCAATCCATCCAAGTTGGTCACCCTTGCCAACCTAGCTTGGTTGTTCCCAACCAATTTGCAGCTGTTACAGTAGAGTGACAAATGTCCCCAACCCCAAAGGTCCCAACTCCATATAGAGTCACCCCACAACTTCACTTTGTAACCGCCGCAGTTGTAACGCAAGCTCATGAACTTTGAATCTTCATAGCTTTCGCGTTCTTGCTCCGATTGAAGCGATTCTCGTTGTGTCGGAAAGATCTTCTCAAGATCTATCATCACAAATACCTGCTCAAACAAAAATAACACAAAACACATTCCCAAACTCCAGAACACACCACACAAATTCTTTCACACGTTCAAACCACACATGCGAATTGAAACAAGAGATGGGAGGCAGACAGAATGTGATAGCATATCATGACATCACACAATACAGCGCATCTCTTACTGCAGTAGCGAAGACCAGATTGTCTACGTGGACAAGGATGTAGAACAGGGTCTGGCCTGAATGAATAAAGAGCAAAGGGTCTGCAGAAGACGGGAAGAACTGCAGGTCAGCTAACGTAGCACTCAACATGTTTTGCCACTCACGAAGCGCATGCCGCAGGCCGTAAACCGGGCGCCGAAGGAGCCACTGGATCCCAAGGGCGAAAGTGTCGGTGAAGCCTGGCGGGCGGCACGAGTGAACTCGCTCGTGCAGACTGCCCTGGAGAAACGCTGTAGAGAAGTCGAGGGAGTGCAGCTCATAGTTACGCTGTGCTGCTACGTGTAGTAGTGCCCGAAGAGTGGTCATCTTCAGGGTCAGGGCGAAGGTCAGAAAGAATTCAACACCCTCGCGCTGACTGAAGCCTCTAGCCACGTAGCGCGCCTTGAACACCGGTGGCTCTCCAGGAGGGTGCTTCACCTTGAAGAGCCACCGGACATCGACTACGTGAACCCCAGGTGGGGGAACTGCGTCGACGTAGGTGTCGGTGGATCTCCAAGATGCCATCTCCGCGTCCATGGCAGCTATCCACTGGGAGGCCCAGGGTACAGAGGTCGCCTCAGCGTAAGTGCGAGGGGTCGGGATGTCAAGGGCGTCTGGGTCACCCTCAGGGACTAGCAGCATGGAGCAAAGATGAGGATCGGCCTCGAACAGGAAAGCGACCTCGTACTGCCGGTCCTCCAGGACGTCACTGCCAAGGGCAGGAGCACCCTCGACGGACGGAGAACGAGCAGGGCCAGAGACCAGAGCGGTGGCATAGTCAAGGTGGCGGGTTGAGGCAAAGTGAGCGACGGTAGCGACAAGAGCAAAGAGACTAGAGATAGGAACAGACGGGTCGGTAACAAGGGAGGCAAGGACACAAGGAAAAAAAGGGCTAGCGGCACGAAGGAAGTCAGACAGAGGAGGCGGAGTGAAAATAATCGACGGGGAAGGAAGCAACGGGAGGAGGGGAGGATGAGACGGGTATGAACGAAGCAACATAGGGTGAGAAAGTTGAGCAAGAGAAATAGGATGAGCACGAGAGGCATGGTGAGACCACCCGTGGGAGGTTGGGGTCAGGTCAGGAGACTGGGGTGGAGAAACAGGAGGAGAACGAGGGGGGAAAAGACCCGGAGGCAAGTCCGGCGGAGGAAACACAGGGCTGTAGATAGGCGGTGGAGGCGGCGGCGGGGGTTGAAGCGTAGGTGGGTGGTCAGGGGAGGGAAGACCGAGGAGGCAAAGGGCGGAAGCCGGCGACGATTGCTGCTGCTCCTTGCCGACACCAGAATTTCAAGCTGCACCACGGCTACCTCCGGGACGCTCCAAGCCAACACCCCCAGAACTAGAACCCGCTTCAGCACCGGTGCCACCCCGAGGACCGCCGGGAATAGCCAAGACAGTACCCCTTGGACTAGCACCCCCAGAACCAGCACCCCCAGAGCTCGCAGACCCCGGCGGCGGCGGCGGCGGCTGTCGCTGCTGCGGCGGGGACGGCGGTTGCTGTTGCGGCATCGATTGCGACTGCGGCTGCGACCGCAGAGGAGGAGACACGGGGGCTGAGACAGGCGGTGAGCCCGGAGCCGCAGGGCCCCCAGAGTCAGCCGACTCCTCAGTGCCCGGAGCCGCAGGGCCCCCATGTCACGAGCGACGGGAGAGGAGTGGTGTGAGACACACCAGACGGGGCAGGACGGGGAGGGAGGGGAGTAGGTGCTACCGGGGGAGTGGGGACGAGGAACAGGGGTGGGGAAACTGGGAGACCACGGTGGGAAAGACGGTTGTAGAAGGAGACAGGCTTGTCAAAAGAGACGTCGCAAGAGTGAAAGAAGTGGTGAGACGGCGGGTGGTTAAAGTGTCAGTCAGATGCGTCGAAGGGGAAGCCAAGGAAGACACAAGGGACAGTGCGGGCAGTGAGCTTGTCCGTGCCAAGGCACAAATGTGAGCAAGGCAGCCCCAGACATGGAACGCTGACGCGTTACCAGGGGACCCGGTCGAGAGAAGTGTCAGCAAAACCTGCGGCCGCTGGGAGTGGGGCCACAGGTTAAGCTGGTAAGCGGCGTAGCGAACAGCAAACGGCCACAGAAAATGGGGTGCACCGGCATTGATTATGGTGGTACGAGCCACCTCCATGACCAAACCGATGCGTCGCTCAGCGACCCCATTCTGCTGCGGGGAGTCCGGCAAGGTGTACGACTGGGTGATGCCCTCCGCAGAACAGAAGTGGCCAAGCCGACCGGAGGCGAACTCGTCGCCGCGGTCGGAGTGGAGACGAAGACTGGAAGGCCGCGGTGGACTCACGCAGCTATGACCCACGGGATAAGAACGTCAGGCACGTCAGCCTTCCACTCTAGGGGAAACACCGTGGTGTAGCGGGTGTAGTCATCGACAAGCACTAGAAAGTAGCGCTCTCGACGCGGCCCAGGGACGGGGGCATGGCCCCAAACGTCCAAGTGCAGGGTCTGGAGTGACGCAGTGGTGGGGGCCAACGAGGAGTGAGGAGCATGGCGCAGTCGGCCCTCGATGCATGGCGTGCACAGCGGCACAGGGGAGGGAGGAAGGGCAGGGAGCGACGCAAGGAGACCTAAGACAAAACCGTGCTTGGACATGTGACGCAAATGCGGGAGTGCGGGGTGACCTAGGTGGTTGTGCCACAGAAGCAACGGGCGAGTGAGCAACCGACACGAGCAAGCCGCAGCAACCTGGGAGGGAGCGGCCATCTGGGGGGACTCTCTCACTGAGGGGGACTCGGTGTCTAGGTTGAACAGGCCAGATACCGGGTCCCGGGGGAACGTGGTGAGAGGGGCACCAGTGGCGGCCTCGGTAGAGATTGCGTACTGCTCGTTGTCACAGGATCGAATGACGTTTAGCTCAATGTTTACTATCAATCAGTACAAGGTGCTTTTATACTTCCATAGTACATCAGGTAACCAAGTTTATCCTATCCAAAGGAAATAGACCCTTTTAGAAATAGAATCACCATGCGTATAGCCACGCGAGGCTATTGGCTCTAAGGGATTATGGCAGGATTACGCTAGATATAGCGCGCCAGTGCATCCCGAGCTTGGTCGGTGATATAATTATAATAACAGGATAAACCAAAGGATAATGGAAAAGGAGGAATAGGAAACCAAATGAGATGAGATAAAGACCAAATGAATCATGATAAAAATAGGAATATAATAGAGAGGAAATATGAAAAAGAGAAATTGGTATAACGGTGTCCCCCCCTCAAAGCTGGGTGGTAGAAGTAACACCCTGCTTGACAAGGTAGTCGCGAAGAGGACGACGGGCGTTACCCATGTCGAATTCAGAGACACAGCCTCAGAAGGATCAAAAACCCCTCCAGCAAATAAAAAGCTCTAGAGTGCCATTCTGACGACGACGGTGTCTGAGCACGTAGTTGTCCCATGGCGTGGATGAACACGGGCAGCGACGGTGGTTGGCTTTCGGTGTAGAGCGTGTTTGGTCTTGATAGGGTTTAAGAAGCTGGTATGGAAGGCGGTATGGATCTTCCAAGTGGCTAGTAGGTGGAAGCGGAAGGTGAATGAAGTGACCTTTGCTTCAACGAGGATAGACCTGCAGAAGCAAGGTTGAAGCTTGTATGGAAGATGGCTAATGTCGAGATTATGGTGTGGATAACTGTAGTGATGAGCAGCCAGGTGCTTATGCTGCTGTTGGATGTCCAAGTGGCGTGTCCGGTGTTAGAGCTGATGGACAACGGAGATGAAATGGATTTGTCGGGTGTTGTGGTGTGAGCGGGTTGCGTCTGTAGGTGGTACGCGGATGGCGTTGATCGTGATTGAGATGTTGTAGCGGAAGATTAGATGTACCGTCCTTTCGGTGGGTGCTCTAGCTGGCACACTGTAGCATGCGTTGAGTCTCAGGTAGCACATCCTGGTGTTACTCGCATCCCGTCCACGTATGAAGACGACTAAGTGTTGGTGGTGTTGCAGTCGTGTCATAGTCCTGCTTCTGTAGCAGCGTTGTATCAGATACATGCAGCTTCTGTCGAATGCTGGTCCATGCCATAGTGTTGTCGCAAGTTGTACCCTCTCGGCATTGTAGTGCTGCGGGACTGGAGAGCAGAATTACTAGTAGTAACCCTGTCCACCACGCGGTCTGCTAGTCACACTGCCTTGAGTACAACCGCGCATGTGAAGTGCTGCTCAGCGTATCCCTTGTGTTCAGAACCATGCGAGGGGCTGGTACCATAAACGCGGAGCTGGTAACTTCCAGAATCAGCGCCAAAGTAGTTTCCCTCGGTGGTTGCTCAAGCAAGGAATCTCTGCTGCATAGATATCACACAGTGATGGGTTAGGACAATTGGGAATATTAGGGGTATTCCCAAATAATCCTCTCCCATTTCCAAATGAGCA